TTCCATTGCCACCATTGTTATCAGCTAACATATCAAGCTAACGTTATCTTAAACAGTTTATTTAGCTGCTGGAGCAGATTAAAACGATTATGCCTCACACTTAGATCGTTGTCGCTGGTTTCATCTTCACCCAATCACCCGTCGCATTTAGTAAAGTGAAGCCAAACTTTAGAGTGCGTTCATGTTCTTCTAGTTGGAAATTCGGAGTTCCGAGGAGAAAGCGAACGCACCATTAGCGAAACGGACGCTAACAAATCAAGCTAACTTTATCTTAAACATTTTATTTACCTACCGGAGCAGATTAAGATGAGGATGTCTCACTTAGATCGTTGTCGCTGGTTTCATCATCACCCAGTTACCCATCACATTTAGTGAAGTGGACCCAAGCTTTAGTGTGCATTCTTTCTACCATGCTGCTCTGCTTACAACTGGCTCGCAGCAAGCGACGACATAACGCTCTTGCGCATGTGCAGCTGTCTTGGCAAGTTCTCGTTATGAAGGACGGGTACCGAAACGAGGCACCGTTTGAAATGACGTGAATCGGTGCTCAGTCGGTACTATGGAATTCGGTCGGTACCTTAAAAAGTACCGCATTCAGTACCCACCGCTAAGCACACATCAGCTGGGTGAACAGCCAGGCAGGGGGGCTGCATCTGTAGTAGCTGGACTGAACATTACAGCATCTTCTGCATTTAAATTCAAGTCCTTTTTGGTTTGCTTCCTGACATTATCACACTCCTTTGTGCTCAGTCTCGCTTTTCTCTTTAAATGTTGATAGAATGCTTACGAAACGTATTTAATGTCATAAATCAGCATGCTTTAGCTTGTGTTAACCCCGTCTGTACTGGAAGTGAGGTGTGAGTCACTTATTTGCATTTGCAGAAATCTAGTTAAGCACATGTTTCTGTGAGCTTTGGCATGGTCAGACAGCCAGTGTCTGTTCTCTCAGCAGGCCCTTCCTGTTTTACTCTATCCTCTTGCTGCTCATGCTGCTAGATAATTTTTGCCGCCATCCCTCACAAATAAACACACCTGTCCACACACAGATGGCAAGCATCACTGATCTGTGGCAACGTGTTTGCATAAAAAGCTGTACTATTGACAGCAACCTGTTTCACAAACACTTTCAAACCTGGTCAGACCTCTTAGTTTAAAGTAAGCAATGAGAGTTGGCATGTGTCGCTTGCAATAAAACACCTTTTAGTGGTCTTTTGGCTCAGCTAATTAATCTGCTAATATCAACCTTCTAAAGTCACACACATATATCAAAGTAAAATTTTGGGTGTTTATGTCAGATTCTATTCGATACTTGCATTACGCACATCTCTTTAAACATCAGATCCGTGCTTGCTTTCAGTATTTTGTTTTACTCGGCCTTCCTGTGCTGCTGGAGCTGGGGTCTGTAACCAGATACCATGACAACTCTGGCAGAAGACAGGTGTAAACAGGTTTAAGAATACACTACTTACTTAAAGGTAGGGTAACCAAAACATGCTTGTTTACATAAATTAGATGCATTAAAATCCTAACGTTTCTGATAGGGATGTACTGATCACATTTTTTCTGTGCCACCGATTCAGTCACTTTATTTTGAGTGTCTGCCTATTGGCGAGTCCCAATCCGATACTTTTCAGGAGAGTGTGAAAATAAGAAGAAACACATCCATGTTGTCCTTTAAGTTTTACTTTCACTTGTTTAGGAAGTACACGGATAAAAAACATGTTTATATTATGAACATATTTAAAAGTAACAGCATGCTCTTATTTCAAGTTGCTTACTCCCTCAATATGCAACTGTATTTAGCGATGCGCGTTCCCGTGACCGAGAAGGCACGCAGTGTCTCGGCTGGTAGGCTAACTTTTTCATGCACAACACCTGTAGTTACCACGGGAAGCTCAGGTGCTGCAGTAAGATTGACCCGATGTTTAGCAGTTTGTTGACTCTTTCTCATTGCTGTTTTGTGTATCTTTCTCTGTTGGCAATGTCATCTTTCATACATGTATACATCATGGGGATAACAGTTTCAGTCAGATGTTTACATTGCACCCAGACGTAAGTCTTTGCAGACAAAAGTTGCGATAGCCTCAGTTATCTTTATGGCTCGCAGAGAACTGGCTCACAATGTGAGTAATTCCCTCAGTTACTTTTGTTTTGTTCTGGAGTCAGAAACTCCTTGGAAACCTCTCAGCCTATAAAATAGCTCTATGTTGAGTTTACGAGTCTTAAGGGTGCAAGGAAAATCATTTTATAATCACATCACAGCCCTCTGAAAATGTAATCAAACCGTTAGGGCCCTGAAGAATCCCACTTCTCCCTTTGAGACCTAAAAGTGTGCCCAGGCTCATGTTTTCTGTAGGCAGGAGTAATAGGTTATGTATTAAGAGCACCTCGTGTGTCTGAAACAGCGGTTGAGTTTCTCCAGGTCTGTGCTAGTAGCAGAGAGAATACCCAGAGTGAGTTCTTCTTGCTAAAACTCTGCTAATGGTCTTTTATTACTCTAAAGAACATGGATGCTTAATGATGGCATTGTTTTGGTTGTGAGGCAATGCTGTAGGGCGTTTTTAGTATAGATACAATTTTAATTCAACGTTAATTATTTGATTGATGTTTGCATATTCCCAGGACAGAATTTAGCCATTAGCTTTGCATAAATCTTAGGAGAAGAGGCTTCTGTGTTTTCAGAATAAGAAGGAACATAGTAGAGGTAATAGAGCCAGGGGACATGCTAACACCCATCTTTTCTTGAGTCGGGAAATACAGTGTATAGCAGCAACCTAGTATTCAGAAAGGCAAGGATTAATGGAGCTGGATGCTCAAACCAATGTCGAACTTCTAACAGGCCAATGCTTCCAACATCTCTGCACAGTCTAAATACAGTACTTATAGGGTTACTCAGGTAATTTAAACACTTCTCTACTTGGCACATGATCTCCTCTAGCAAGTTGGGTAGAAAAACAATCTGAAAAGGTATTTGGAAAAGGGTAAAAGTGAGGAATATAAATTTTTAGGATGGCCTCTGTGGTGTTGTGATGGAAAAAGGGAAGACTGAATATTGATTCAGTCTGTGAGTCACTGCTGGGGCACACCTGTGTGGACAACTTATAGTAGGGCCCGACCGATATGCTTTTTTTGGGACCGATACCGATATAAAACTTTTAACAAAGGCCGATAGCCGATATAATGGCCGATAAATCTCCCTCACAAAAAAGAAATAAATACAAATGTTCTTAAGATTAAACCCTTCATTGCCTTTTTGATGCTAACTTATTTCTCTGTTACACACCAAAGAACTGTCTCAATAACTCACTAGGGTTTCCAAGTAATGCAAATAAGATTTATTTTGCAATCTCAAAAACAACAGAACACACAAACTCAGTCAGTATAAATCTAACATTCAAGTTTTTTGTGTTCTGAGTCTGTGGAGTTTTACACTTTTGTGTTTTGATCCTTTCCAAAGCCGACAGTATTAGGAAAATAAAAATAAGATACGTTAAATGACTAGTATGTTGCAATGTATAAGCCTTATGTAAAATATAAGGCTGAAAAAATACAATAGATGTATTCTGTTGTAGAGAGGAATGTTTATTTCTCGTATTACCGCCCCTACTCCTGTCCCAGCTAGGGAGAGAAAGGGGGACTCCCTATACAGCGTTTCATTGCTTTGTTGCCAACCCCCCCCCTCGCCCGTCCTCAGCTGCGACAACAGTCGTGTGCCGCCGAAGCGCCGCGAAATGGGGACTGCCTTCATTCGTCTCCCTTGTTATCCTATTCTGTAGGCCACATGGGCCACCGAAGCTGCGCGCCGGCGCTCCAGCCCGCGCCATGCAGCGATAGTTTCGGCGTCTGCACTACCTTTTTCGCGAGCCGCAGGTGAACCGCGTGAGTTTGAAAAGACTGCTGAAGAAGAGCGGAGGAAATTGTCTGAGAATATTCCAGAATGTCTACCAGAAAAAGGCCAATGTTACTTACTTACTGCCCTGCATGACTAAAGGGGAAGCAGCGTGAGCTCTGCATAGAGCGTAATGCTGCGGCAGTTTTATTTTATTTTTTCAGGGTAACTTTTCAATACGAGGCCACGAGGCACACAATAAACTTAGGAAGCATGTTGAGGGGAAACACTTTTGTCATTGCTTATTTTACTGTTCAACTTACCACTGACACAACAAGTATGCTTAAAACTGAAGACTTACCTCGTACTTCCTCATCACCGTCGTCTCTGCTTGACCGAATTGCTTCTGCTGCCCTGCTGCATGTATGCTGTGACGGTGGCTCCACCCCCCCGAGGAATGGAGCCACACAACATGAGTTTATAAAGCTTGCACCATCTGCTGGATAGGTAGTGCAATATCGGCCATATCGGCAGTCTTTTTGGCCGATAGCCGATAGTGTTAATGACCCCTATATCGATCGGGCCCTAACTTATAGTAACTGGGGTTTGCTGCTGCCCCACTGCCAAGGTTCAGCTCTAAATGTTTAAAAGTGGCCTTGGCTGTTGCTCAAAATTATGTGTTGCTCTAAGCCACATGTGTCAAACTCCAGTCCTTAAGGGCCACTATCCCACATGTTTGTGTTTTCCCTGTTTCAACACACCTGATTTCAATCAGGAGGTGATTACCAGGCTGCTGGTGAGCTTGGTGAGCTGCTGCACAGGTGAATGAACTGTATTGGAACAGCGAAATGACAAAAAGATGCAGGATAACGGCTCTTGAGTACTGCAGTTTGACACCCCTGCTCTAAGTGTTTACAAGGAGCGGCTGTACACTGTAAAAGGAATAACCACACTTAAAGTCTCTTTCCGGTGTATTTCTATTATCCGATAGCAGCATCTAGTGGCTGACAAGCATATCACACCAATAATTTCTCCTTCCATTTTTTTTAAGATGGTGACTTGACGTTTCTTGTACATTTGTCCTTCTGTAGCTGACAAACAGAGCTAAAACATGTTGTATTACAAGTATTATTCTCATGTTATGTTGTGTTCTCACAAATTTGTATTTTAGAGACTTACTTTTCCGTGAAAAGTTCATCAACTCTGTATCAGCCGAGGTATTCATCAAATTTGAAGCAGGTAAGCAAGCGGTAGTCTAACGCTATTGGTTAGTTCTGGTTGGCTCTCAGTTTCCTATTGCATGGAGCTCTGCGGTGCGGGGGACGTGCTTGCCAAAAAAATAAAAAGACGTATTGCTTAAAAAAAATTGATGTCCAGTTTTCATATCCAAAATATTTGACTTGTCGCCATCATTGAACCAAAATATTCAGGCTTTTGGACAAACGGATCACAAAGTAATACATTTCTAAAATCATGGACAATATAACACAAAATTGATTTTATTTTCAACCTCTCTTAAATCGTTCAGCAAATAAATGTCTTCACTTACCTTATTTTAGTTATTGAACCGAGCTAATATTTAGAAATTGTTGTCGTCGTCTTCCTCCTCTTATCCGGGTCCGGGTCGCGGGGGCAGCATCCCAACTAGGGAGCTCCAGACCGTCCTCTCCCCAGCCTTCTCCACCAGCTCCTCCGGCAGGACCCCAAGGCGTTCCCGGACCAGATTGGAGATGTAACCTCTCCAACGTGTCCTGGGTCGACCCGGGGGCCTCCTGCCGGCAGGACATGCCCGAAACACCTCCCCAGGGAGGTGTCCAGGAGGCATCTTGACCAATCCATGCCCAAACCACTTCAACTGACTCCTTTCGATCCGGAGGAGCAGCGGTTCTACTCCGAGTCCCTCCCGAATGGCCGAGCTCCTCACCCTATCTCTAAGGCTGAGCCCGGCCACCCTACGGAGGAAACTCATTTTGGCCGCTTGTATCCGCGATCTCGTTCTTTCGGTCATTACCCAAAGCTCATGACCATAGGAGAGGATTGGGACGTAGATCGACCGGTAAATCGAGGGCCTGGCTTTCTGGCTCAGCTCCCTCTTCACCACGACAGATCGGCTCAGCGTCCGCATCACTGCAGACGCCGAACCAATCCGCCTGTCGATCTCCCGACCCCTCCTACCCTCACTCGTGAACAAGACCCCGAGATACTTAAACTCCTCCACTTGAGGTAGGACCTCTCTCTCGACCCGGAGTTGGCAAGCCACCCTTTTCCCTTTTTATTTAGAAATTGAACCAACCTAATGCATTTACATTTAATCTAATTCACATGACTCAACTTGGTTGTGTTGACACCAGTTAATTAATTTACATATAATCAAACAATATTTTTACAGCAGCAACATTAAATAATGCTACCTCATGTCTAATACACCTGCAAACAGTAAGTGAGAAGGAAACACAAGGAGCTGATTCCAGAGGTTTTTGTGTGAACCACCACTTTACATTAAACAGCAGAACGACACAGCGGTGTCTTTCCTGTGACCGACCTCCTCACCTACACTGACAACTTGACATAACAAGTAACAGTGAATGAAGTAATAACTAAGGAAAAACACAACCCCCCAAAATAAACGTGCATAAACACCCCAAAATAGAACAAAATGACCAAGAACATGACTACCCACAATGCATCTCGCCCACTGCAGCTCCCGCAGGTGCTCACATGCAAATCGCATTTGACTAATTAAAAAAATCAAAAACTTTGAGTTGATTGGTTTAAATTGATATTTAGTTCCATTCAAATCAAAAGTGATGATTTAGAATGCAAAAAGAAAGTTTCACAATCAAATCAATATTTTTATTATGTTTTGAATACAAGTTATTAGATTGAATGAAAAGCTGCATGTTAGACTTTTTAGAGTGTAAATCTGACATTTGTTATAGAGGAAGTTCACCAAGAAAGTAGCATTGCTGTTAGCCAATCAGCTGCAAGATGTCCAAATATTAAGAAATAAGGTTGTCTGAAGCTACCTTCTCCTCCAGATGAGTTCTACGTCCTCAGATAAGGGCACCGGAGCTTTTATTTTCCCAGAGAAGGACTTAAAAGGCATTCATTCCTACTAGAGACCCCTGCTAATTTATTAAAAATGTGCGTTAAATTGACCTTTAAAGCTTCACCTGACCAGTCTTAGGTAAACACACTCTGATCTAAACTCAAGAAGCTGGAGGTCTTCGTGTTTTGCAAGGGCATGGAACAGATAGGCTCTGAAATGAATGATGGTAGCTTGTTAGCTGAACAAAGAGTAGGCAGCTGTTCCAATTTCTTCAATTTCCCTTCTCCATGGCATTCCAACAAACTTCAACCTGTCCAGTTCTTCTGCTAGCTGGCTTTGAACCGAACATGTGGGTGACTCTTTTTATTTGTAAAGTATTCTGACATATCTTCCTCCTGACATGTTCAGCTTGCTGTCACAGAGATAGCCTTCAGAGAACTCAGTCACAGGTTAGGGTTTTGCACCTGTCTGCGTGTGTCTTTTATTTGTTTGAATCCTAGTTTCAGACGGTTTAGATCACTGTTATGATAGACACTGTACCTGACATTCAGTTAGACCACTGGAGCGACCTGCAGGTTCTGAGTTACACTTGTTCATGTACGTTCTGTCTTTTACCGACCTCTCCATCCAGTTAGAACTGTAGTTGTTTCCTTATCTGCTCAGTGAAGTGTGTTTAGGTGGAAAAATAACACCAGCAGTTTGGAACCAAGTTAAACAAGTAAATCTCACCAACATGTCCACTGTACTCAATTCATCAATGATTTAACATCTTAACAGATGCTCCCATTTCACATTGAAACCAACACTATACCATGCATGCACCATGTATCTTGCAAATACAGCTTGATGCTAGCATGGGTAACTGTGGCTACGTGGTATGGGTTAGATGACGATGCAACTTTGCACTAATTGAATCAGCAAGTAAAGGGAACACTTCAGCAAACCACTGAGATGTGGAAATATTATTTTAAACCTTCACAAATTGTTCTAAATGGCAAACATGTCAAAACTATGCTCATACACAGAGGATAAAACACTGCAGCATGTTTCAAGATGAATAGGCTATTTATTCTTTGTCACTCATACTGGCAGGAACTGATTATATTACCAGTTTCAAACTTGAACATTTGCTGCTTGGAACATGAGGACAGGTTGTTGCACCAGGAGACCTGACACACAGTTTTAGGTTCCTTTTTCATTCAGTTCTTCAAACTTAGTTAGGGCCTTCAGCATCTTTTCTGCCTCCCCACACAAACGAGATAAACAAAACCCATCAGTCATGGTGAAAAGCTTTCTGAAGCACGAATGTTCCTGAAAAAAATCAAAGTTTGTGGAGCTGGATGTAACTTTTTAGGTCCGAACCAGAGATTTTTATGAATGCAGATCTTCTGTAAGTTTTGTCAGCACATGATCAACTAGACACATAAGAATACATGTGATAAGTACTTGGTGAGAGACACATCCAAGATGGAAAAGCAATGACCTAGCAGTAGCGACCACGCTAATTAAATTCACTGGTTCTATATTTACATAGCTATAAACTTTACTGGGTCATTTAGTGTCTTATGTGAAAATATATAGATATTGTTTTAGTTGAGACGTTGTCTAGTACGACTTGTCAGTGAGATTTTCTCGAACCTTTTCTTGTGTGCCACTTGCTAGGCCTTGTGAACACTTTCATCCTTGTGCTTTCCTGTCCCTCTTGCACAGCATTCCTGAAGACTGGGACCAGAAAACTGGATTATGGCATTACTGGCACCGTGACTCCCCTAGTAGCTGTTTTGGAGCAGAAAAGAGGCACCATAACTTCAGTCTGATCAGATGATACCAGGCTCTGTGGTTTGGCTTTGCTGAGATGATTTACTTGACAGATGAAGGAAATGATTAATGTGAAGAGATCCTCTTTTATTGTAGCTCTCTAGAGCAGAAACAACCACGGAAATCAGCCAATCGTAGGTAGGGCATTCTTGTCTTGAACTGACCATTCTCTTATTACTCTGTCTCACACACACACACACACACACACACATACACACACACACACACACACACAGCAGTGACTTTTTTCTCTCTACTTTTTGTGGTTATGCTTCCTCTGTTTGTTTTGGTGGCTAATATTTTTGTCAACAGCATGTCTAATTTCCCAGCAGCCAGGATGTTGATTGACCGACTCACCTCTAGTTTTTAATTCTGGTTTGATGCTGTATGAATCCAGACTGAGTAGAAAAGATTTTTGGCTAATTTAGAACCCAGAAATTTCCTAGTGCCCATAGACATGCATACGTAGATGCGTCTTTGGGCGCTGGAAAACGTAACAGCGTCGCCGCCATATTGGGTGGGTTCTTCATTCTCCAAACCCAACTGGAGTCAACGCAGGCAGGACAACTATGCCTTTTTTTTCTGTAGCCTACGGTAGCAACAACCGGCGCACTATTGAAAATGGTTCACAGAGGATTACCATTGACTTTTGTAGCCTACCAGTTGGAATTTTATATTTTAAATTATTTTATATTTTCATTTTTTTTACTATCATTCCATAACGTGTCTGATTTTGTCAAGAAGCATAATAGAATGTGTTTTTAGTTGGGTAAGTACCTTTCCTCATAGAAATAAATGCACTGGGGGAAAATGGAGACCAATCCAAGATGGCAACCCGCTGCTACGCCAGCCCCAATAGGCAGCGCCAGTCCACGTCGTGTCTACTTATAAGATGTTTATGCTAGTACCCCTCTAAAGGATCTATACGAGCTCCAGCTGCCTTCACTTCCTATAGTAATGGTATAAAAGAAAGTCACCTTCTGTTTTTTAACTGTTTATTTATTCAGTCTTTCTATTGTGTTACACTAAAGTCCCCCTCTTTTAATTCCAGGGTTTTATGTATCAGGTAACAATAAAACAGGTTGTTACCAGATTCTAAAGTTCCTCTAATCAAATCCAAATGAAAAAAAAACACAACACTGGTTGTTGGGATGTAAGTGATAGGGATGTGAATCTTAGAGCAACTCACGATTTGATTCGATTCCGATTCTCTGGGTGTCGATTCGATTCAGAATTGAATCTCGATTTAAATCAATTCACAATCATTGTTAACAAAGAGTGTCAGTTCTAGGATTAACTACTTTGTTGTACAAGTTAATTATAGCTATGGGACATTTTTATTTTCCTTTAAACTGGTCATGCTCAAAAAATGCAAATTTACAAGGTAAACTAAAGTGATTCTAGCAATCTTTTGACCAAAAGACAACATTTATTTTTGCTTACCTTGTAAAATGTAACAAATCTTTAGTTACCTAACAGTAGCTTTGAAAGTAATGCGGTCAAATACTTTTCAAGTATGTGTGGAAACAAGTTTAACATTTGAGTCCTCAACCAGTTTAAAAACAGTGCCTTAGATTTCTTACAAAGGAAAATGTGTTCTCTCATTTATCAATAACTTAAAATAAATACATGAGTAATCCTGAGCCCTCACTTATCAACTTAGAAAATAAATACGAGAATATCTCAAATTAATTAGTATGGGAAAAATTACATTTAAGTGCCCACTTATCTGCAGACTCAAAAAGAAATCATCTCAATTTATGGGACCACAAAAGTAAACGGAGTACTCTCCTAACAAAGATTAAAAGACAGACTAAAGTGCATCTCAAACCTGTAACATTTGAGTTCTTGGGATCGATTCTGAACCTTTGTGAATCGATTCTGAATCTTTATAAATAAGAATCCCGATTCAGACTTGAATAGATTTTCTTCAGCACCTCTAGTAAGTGACTGGCTCACCTGGGTTGAACCTTGCACTTTTTTTCATTGAGCATTGACCTCTGAACCATGGGTGAACTTGCTGGGACATCCACCCCCCGAAATGACCTTTAACCTTTCTTAAATCATTGGACAGCAGTAGGATGTTTCTCATTATGAGGGCTGATGTCTCAGCAGAAATTCATCTGTGTGAAATTACTGCTGATGCTCGAATAACTCAGACCTTGTAATGAAATTACTCCGTTAGCTGTTGAATATTGTCAGTCTCCAACATTTGTTTGAGTTTCTTATATTAAATGAAGTTATATTAATCTTTTAATATCTGCTGTCCTAAAAATGCGCGTGCGCGCGCGCACACACGCACACACACACACACACACACACACGCACACGCACACACACACACACCTGATTCACATGAACCTCTTAGCCAGAGCCTTCGTCAGCAGATTGCTTTTTTTTTTTTGGTTTCATATTCGAGTTGAATCAGGATTGCTATCATCAGGTGAAGCGTTCATCCAGGTTACCACAGAGGCGAGACTACACGACCAGCCCCATACACTCACACACACACACACACACACACACACACACACACACACACACACACACACACACACACACACACACACACACACACACACTAGCTAGGCTCTTTTGTTCTGGGACAAAGGAAAGCTGTAGGATGGTGAGATAAAATGTCAGCTAGCCTCCCAATCAGTGAGCACATTGTTTCCATTTTGGCGGTGCAAGATTAAATGATCACTTCCAATTTATGACCACAAGTTGGTTATGAAACAGAGTTTAGACTGACATGTGTTTATATATCTTGTAACAAAAGTGTGAGGTTGTGACTGGGAATGTCTTTATTTTGTTGATCTGGAAGTTGTGGGATAAAGAATGTTTTATTCTTTCTCCTTCCCATTTGGGAGATTGTTAGGTTGAGGACAGTTGTAATAAATAGACTAGGAGATACAAGCTGAATACAGAAGGTAGTCAAAAGAGATCTACTCACTTATTTTCTATCCAATCATGTTCAGCGCTTCATGAGGGCAGTGCTTAACTCTACAGCCAGTGGGTGCACAGTGGACTACACCTTGGTCCAGAGCAGCACAGAGATGCCCTTTTAACCCAGCATGCATGTTTAAAACATAGAGGATTTAAAGCTGCAGCAGCCAACGAGAGCCCGTATGTCACGGGTCAAACATTCAAGTTCCAGAGCTGAGTCACCTTAGGTGGAAGCTGCTTGTCTGGATTTTTCTACAATGTGTTCATGGTGTTATGGTGATAAATGCTTTAGTCACGATGCAGACAGATCCGTTTTCCTCTGAGTCTTCATCTTCCCTCCTCAGAGTGGAAGCTTGCAGCTTTTCTCTGGCGCTGCAGTGAGCCCCAACATGATGTGACCTAAATAAGTGAGTTTGTTAGGAGAGCGCAGGGCTGAGGGATGAAGATGGAGTTCTCTCCTTGTTTTTTAAACATTTTACTCTTTTGCGGGTTATGCAGATAAACACACTACCCCGCCTGTTTGCCTGAGGATTGCTAGAAATACAGCACAGGCCAAAAGTTTGGACACACCTTCTCATTCAATGTGTTTTCTTTACTTTCATGACAATTTACATTGGTAGATTGTCACTGAAGTCATCAAAACTATGAATGAACACATGTGGAGTTATGTACTTAACCAAAATAGGTAAAATAACTGAAAACATGTTTTATATTCTATTTTCTTCTAAATGGCCACCCTTTGCACACTCTTGGCATTCTCTTGATGAGCTTCAAGAGGTAGTGTAATGAAATGAGATTATAACATTTTAATTAATGACCGTAGACATAAGATCCATATAGAGTATGAATCCCATCTAATGGACACTGGGTTATTTAAACCAGAAGATTGGATCTTTTTATTGCAGAGATTAGATAACCGTTACGTATTCACGCAGAGACAACAGAATAGAGAGAGTCAAGTTTAAAAGTTAAGAATTTTATTACTAACAAATTAAACTAGACTGACTTTAAAACTAAATGTATAGTGTAACTTAAAATGGATGAGGCGGTGAATGGATGACGTGTGATGTTAAATCAGAACCAGCAAATCCGAAGAAGCGATTAGTTCTGACGGGAACTGAGGATGTTTTGCATTAAGCTTTGGTTTGCTTCTGAAAAAGCATGAGACACCATTTGCCGGTCTACCTTGCCTTGTGGAAGTCCTCTGTAGATCAGGAATATCGAGGTCCAGTGAACCCTCTCTGGAAACCGAGCCGGTAGGAGAAGCCGCGGTTCCGATCAAACCCGTCTTGAGTTACTTCCGGCACACGACACATTATTGGCGTCTGGTCAGACCCAAGCCTGGGTAGGTGGATGGAGCTTTTATTCTGAAAGGAGCTGTTGTTGCCGCTGGTTGTTATAGCGACTGGATTTTTCAGCTTGTTGTTGGTTCTTTCAGTTAAAGAGTTAAAAGATCAGGATTGGACACTGTCACTTGCTCTGGAACGCTTTGAACTGGCGTTAGAGCTGAAATGGCATAGTTTTATACTTCGGATGTAATGGTTTATTGTCGAATGAAAATTACACTGTCAGTAAGATTCTGATTGGATCAGTGAAAGGAATGTGTTATGTCCTTTTAACACTACGTGAAATGAGTCCTGTTGGAACACTTAAAGTCACAGTACTTAATATTTCTATAGGATCATAATAAAATAATTTAATATTTTGAATTCACAGGTCGGTCACATCTTATTATATTGACTAACACTTTGATGGATTAGCTTTATTAAAATTGTTCTTAGATTAATTAAAAGAAAAGAGTTCATTCTTCGTTCTTCTGTTGAGCTGAAAATAAGCAGGTTAGAAGGAATGCATGAGACCTTGAGACTCTCTCTCATGCAGACTAGTCCTGAGCAAAGAAGGGAAAAATAAGAGTCATTTCATTCCGTTACAGTAGTCACCTGAAATGGTTTTCCAACAGTCTTGAAGGAGTTCCCAGAGGTTTTTAGCACTTGTTGGCCCCTTTGTAAATGGTCCTTGTCATGAAAATAAAGAAAGCACATTGAATGAGAAGGTGTTTAGGTACTGCGTGGAAAAGCAGGTACAGAAAATGGATAGGTGTTTGGTCATGTAAAACGTCTGTGTGAGTCTGACTCATAAGTTCAGGTAACTAGACATTAGTGATTATTTGTAACCTGACTGATCACATGGTT